GACATTATTAATCATCATCAACCAAAATACAACCTTTGTAAACAGCAGACTTGGACAGTTCCCCGCCAAGGACTCTGCAAGAACGATGTTTACTATTGATATTCATTTAGTATTAGGAAATTGAAACAGCACTAAAACCCAAGGGACCAGAAGGGCTTTAGGCTGCACCAGTGTTGAAGGAGGATGTGAGGCCAAGATATTTGTAGCAGAGCAGCCTGAATTACCCAGGGCAAAATACAAGAAAACCCAGCAGGGTAGGAATGGATAGGCTAGAGAGGTTTTCCATTTACCTGATTTTTTTCTAAGATTATGTTTTATTAAACTGTAAGTAATGAAACCTCCCAAATAGAGAGGAGTTGTATTTCAGTACAGTACTTAGAGAGCTGCTCTGGGGCCATTACCAGGTTTAAGATTATTTCATATTTTCTTCAGTGGTGTAAATTCACTGCCAATTTTATTTGTGGACAATCCAACAGCTGACACTGTGATGAACAAAAGAACTGGGCCGTCATATAAAAGTCCTGGAACAGATGATAAAGTATACTGTTCAAAGTTTTTTTTATTTTTAATAGCCAAATCTCAAGTTGTATGTCCAGGAAAAGAACACAAAGCTATATCCAGGGAAAACAAGCCATACACTGAGAAAACATCAGAGTGAAAAACTACTGATTCAGAAAAAGGCATCAGGGTCATAAGGGACAGGGAATTGAATATGAGATCCCACCTTAACATGGTGTGTTAAGTGACAAAATGTGACACTCACTTGGAAGCACAACCAATAGTGTAAAAAGAAAGCAGGGCTTTTACCTGTATGTAGATTAATGGAAAAATCAGTAATAGAGGTTTATCTCCTTCCTAAAAGGAGATGGCAAATTCCCCCACCCGTGATGGGACTAAGGGAGGCAGGTAAAACACAAGATTTTAGGAAGTCAATCCATGCATTTCATTGCATCTTTTTCTTACATTTTCCTGCTATAATGCATTTGAAAGTTAAAAAAATAAGATACATCTTTGCAAAGCCATCCCCTCTTCTTCTCCCAGAAGTGAAAACTGAATTCAAATTCTAATCACAAGACAGACATGCTCTTCCTTACAGAGGGATTACTGGCTATTGAAGTATTCTATAAAGAGAAAACATAATCAGATTTTATGCCATTTTCAAGAGCTGATGCCCTTCTCTGGCATAAAAAGCTTCACAGAAGGTCAGACTAAATGAAAGGTGTCAAAATGGACCTGAATGTCCAGTCTCACCTGATAAAGGGCTTTATGGAGTTTTTGCCTGTCAACTGAGCAATACAAATTTCTACACATCTGATAATCAATCCCCTCAACACACTATTTACACTCATCTTCCTCAGCATGCCAACAATCCAACGTGTAACAGATTTCTTCCCACTCAGAATCCCAGAAACCATCCTGCTAAGACTGCTGGCGAGGTACGGCTGCTACAGAACCAAAAGCCTGAGACAACAGCTAATAAATATTAGACCTTTGTGACCTCAGAAACTCTTCAAAACTTTCCCCATCAAAAAGGCCTCGAAAGTTCCTGTCACAAATTGACTAGGAAAAGTTCATATTCCACTTTGAGTGGTAATGAAAGACAACACAATACAGTTTTACAGTAGCACAGTTTATCATTAGAACTTATGAAGTACAAGCCAATTTCTGCTTTGCTATTTTTCCATAGTTTCTTTTAAAGCAATAGTAGCAATATTACAGATTTTAAAAATATTGTTCTAGGTCACAGAGATTTATTTGTATCATTTCCTCTGTTACTAAAAAATCTTTAGGGAAATTATTCCGTTCAATTTCATTGCAGCCCATTAGCACCTACAGGCCAGCCAAAAAAGAATATTGCATATGAAAGCCTCCATCAGGACACACCAACCTCAACTTGACATAAAAATATTTTTTTCAATGTTCAGCTACTAAAATACATTATTACTTGAAATATATCACCTTCTACTGACCTAATTAAGCAACTGTTAAAATACTAATCTTGTTGCTTCTTCCACTTTCAGTGTTCAAGAACATTAATAATAAACCTACTGTAAATCCTGAAAATAAAGCATAGTCCAGTTCAAGAGGCTGCTCTCTACTCTGCTCACACAATTTTCTTCTTACAGACTGTCAACCAAGTCATTGTGGATTGTGCCACTTACAGAAATAACTGGTTAATGATCTTGTGAAGATATCTGCAATAAAACCATGCCAGAGACAGAAAATTTAGCAGGCAGATTTGGAAAAACAAAAATGAGAAAGGACCTTAAGGTTTCTGGTTATTATTCTGTCAACTACAGCTTATGACTAGAACTAAGCTGTTGTGCTCTTCAGCTTGTATTGTATATTTACAATATACAGATTCTAAATGACCACATATCAAGGCAGCATAAAATCCATGATTTTAACAAAGCTGCTACAGTGAGAGTTTTTTAAAGATGCTTAGTCTTTCTTTCTGAGAGGCACATCTTAAATACTAAACGTGTAATACTTTTTAAACACCAACTCTTTTCTCTCACTTTTCAACAGATGTGCATGTGGACCTTCGTTAAACACTCATACATTTACCTCTCTTAGTAGCGTGAACGAACAGTTAACAGACTAATGAATTTTCACAGTAAATGACCACGGCCTGGTCAAAGTGTGTTTACAGCTCTGTAAATACTACTGTCTTTGCAGGATTGGACCACAGAGAGAACATTTTAAGTGCTGAAACAGGATATTGTAACACAGACAGGTCCTAACTGACAGAGCCACAGCCTGCAACATCAGTCTTGACAGCGTTTAGCACCCTCTGACTCCATCATGGAAAATGAATGAGAGGAATAAGAGCAGCAGTGAGGTCTCTGCAAACCACATTCTTTACTTATTCAATATAAATTATTAGCACTGCTTATATTTATGATTATAAAACTAATATGAACCTTTTGGCACCATGCCAACCATTTGTCCTCAATAACCGAATTTCACAGATTCCATCTTGCAAAATCTACCAAAGAATAGAAGCATGCACTTTTTTAGTAGAAGTCAGTAATGTAGCACAAGACACGAGACAAAAGCATCAATATATTTAAATAGAAACGTTTTGTGCATTAGGGAAAAAGCTGTAATCAAACGCATAGGACTTAGGGCATTAATGAAATTAATTATTTTTCCCAAAGGAGCATTTATATGTCTCAAGCAGGACAGTGTTCAAAGTCCCAAGACAATTATATAATTACTTATCTTCAGACAGAGTGTTATGTCACACAATATTGGAATAAGTCTCTTGAGCAAATCAGTATTTTGATACCTATGACAGTATTTTCATACTGTCATAGGTAGTTTAGTTTTTAGGAAGTTTTGACACTAACATTCTATTGGATCAAACGATGTGTTCTGATAATTATTAAATCCATAAATATCCAATAGATTTAATTTTAACATTTGATCACCACTGGATCAAGCTGATTACTAAAAATAACTGTGCCTATGATGTAGCAATCTTTCTTCCTTCCAAAAGGAGCTGCTGCAGCACCATCAGCTGAGGCTTAGTGATTATGGCTGAGAAAGGAATAAAGATCACTTAACAATCAAACTACAAACCCATGCAGCAGGGCATACCATGGAAGAGTCCTTGACTATCAAACTCACATACTAGTCCCACTCCTCTCTGACATTTAAATACCTGCCATGGGGCTTTATATTTATTTTTAGGTTAGACTTTTTTAAGTTTTTCCCCATGGAAAAGGCTTGTGAGTAATATTTTGGAATTAGAGCGTTAAGCTAAAAATGCTCTTATAGACATCAATTATCATTTTAGTGTATGTAAAGAGATAGTATGTTGAAAACAAAGGAGGCTTACAGCACTTGAAAAAATGAACTAGCTTCCACATGATCAACAGAACACAAAAATGTGATATCAGAGTTGATTTAGGCGACACAAATAAAGTCCTACACATACAAGGAATATAAACACTCTCTGACTCATTACAGAACACCTGCTTAAGACAATTAAATAGTCAACATGTGCTCATTTACTGAAGTAATCAGTTTTAGAAACACTAAGTGTTGCATGCATCTGTTCAGACTGAATGTATATCAGACATTTGGCTATAAACTTCAGCCAAGAAAAGAAGTTACTATGGCTCCCTCCCCTCTCCCTATTTCCTAATATGGCTTCTAATCAGCTTGTCTGAAGTTATTTGAGATTCCACATGTAAGAGTTATAGCAGCATTTATTTCTTAAAGGCTTGTAGAGGCAGGGACACTGATGGAAGGAAATGTTCCTCTGGAAAAGCAGTTCTTACGCAGAACCAGTTAACATTGACCACAATCATGGTTTAAGCAGTATTTAATGCTTCTTACTCCCATAAATCCCACTTTCTTAGCAGTGTGGGACTGAAAAACACCACTGCTCCCATCTATTACAGGTTTATTGGGTAGCAAATCTACTGGAGAGAAAGCAGCTTGCACACACATTTTACAACCTTGGTCAACTTCTCATCTCTGAAAATAGCTCTATTCTGAGAAACCCTCTGAGATACTCTTCTACTAAGGAAACTCTTCCTAAACACATCAAGTTCCACACCTTAGTTCCTCAACAACTCCCAGTTCCATACCTTGTATTATTTCTAATAAAAATGATTATCAGAATTTACAGTAGTCACAAAAGATCGCTTCAAAACAAAATGATTAACTTCTGCAGCTTGTTCTGGATTTCACATTTTTATTGCAAGTACATGACAAGTACCCATTTTGGCCAGAACTTGCAGCTTTATGTTGCCTTCTTTTTAACATTTAAATGCACATCCAGGTCAATCTGTCAGAACACTCATGAGTAGATACCTTCCACGAAAACACTGCATGAAAGGATGCAGCAGGTACCATCTTCTCACTTTAGTCTCTGTCTTGTGTAGAGTGCTGATGACCCCAAATTCCCATGGCTAGGTCTCTTGACAAGGACTTCAGTATCCCTTCCTTCCTCTGAATCTTGCCCTGTTATCCAACTGAAAATTGAAGACAATGTATTAAGAGCAGGTATTTCCCAAAAGGAATATTGTAGAGTGTTTGTACTACCTTGCCACTTAGTAACATCAGAATAAAGGCCAGAAGAAAGCAGAAGGAAACTAGTGATGTAGCCAACAAGCCACAGGGGATTCCAATGAAAGAGGTATTACATGATCTTAAACCTCACACAAAACTAGTATTATTTGATAAGCTTCTTGTGCATTCTGAAATAAACAACATAAGTGATAGAACAGCACAGCAGGATGGCAAGGAACCCATGAAAAATAAGGTAGTGTAAAACTGCTTAGATCAGCTTTGCAAATGTGACTGATAAACTGAAGGAGGAAAATTCAGATCTGGTTAAGTGCAAGTGACTACAAATGTCTGTGAGGAGAGGGATAACTTAAATACACAAAGCTTCTGGAAAAATAGAAATAAATTAGTAAAACCAAACAATATTCAGCTTGAAAAATTTACAAGTTTATTCTTGGCAATTACAGAAAAAGCATTTAATGAAAGGTTAAAGATGATGGTAAAGCTAAAATAAAAGCCACAGTGCAGTACTTACAGAAGCTAAACTCTAAGTTCTTTCCCAACGAAGCAGAAAAACATACTTTGATCTTGGGAGAATTATTCTGAACTTAGACAGCCAGTCTTGAAGATGGCAGTGACAGATTGCAACTCAGCCATATTCTGATATTAGACTGAAGAGGTTTCTTTTACCACCATTAACTAACCTTCTTCCAGAATTCAGAACTGCAGCAAAATACGTAAAGAGCTAGACTCATGATGACACAGCTTGTCCAATAACCAAGCAGCTTTCACTTTAAACCTTGGCCCTACTTCAACATCTAAAGTGTACTGAAGTTACTCCTATGATAAGACTTTCTCTTTCCTTGAAAAGAAAACAGCATCTAGGCAAAACCTCTGATGATTTTAGCATACTGCAAATGATATCTGTATTTAGCATCTAACTTAGTTTTGGACATTCTTTAAGTTTCACTATTATAACAAACAAGTCTGACTGAAAATTACAGAATTAACAGGACAAGAAAAACTTCACTTATCAGCCTTAAAATTTGGGAGAGTTGAATAAAATCATTTAAGAGCCAGGCCTCTTCCTGCATGATTGAAGGCATTTAGCTAGAAACTTAGTTTCATCAGGCTCCCTTAACAATCCACAGACAGAAAAATACAGTCATTTCACCTGGAGATGCATATGTTGCTACTGTAGCTTTATATAGCTATTTCACACTTTCAATATATAACATCTTCCCATACACAGAAATAATAATTTTCACTTTACGGATTAATATGGTTCATATAAAAGAGGTCCAAAAAGCTGCTATGGCTAATACAAAACAGAAGAAAAAATTAAAGTATCATTTTAGCTGTACACTTTTCACCAGCTAAAAGTAAAAATGAGCCCTGCACTTCTCATGTTTGGAAAGTTTTAATACCATCTTTACCATGTCTTAAAGATGTTTTAAATGCTATGGAAACACAAGCAAAATAATACTGGACAAGGAACTCCTATCAAAATAAGGAAAACTTTATCTAAATACTTTTTTTAAAATGACTTGTCATTTCCATATGGGATAGTTCATTATATAAAAAAAGCAAACTGCTATTTATCATGACTTCTAGTATTTCAAGAAAATTAATGACTCAACGTGAATTCAATGCAAGATCCTGCTTCAACAGTGAAAGTCTCACTTCGCTTCATTTAAATGTTCTCTATATGGATGTTTTTCAAAGACCTTACAGGCAAAAGATAACTTGTTGATATTTTATCTTAGAATTACCTGATCTATTAATGTTTTTTAACCCAAAACTTTACTAAAAACAATAGTGAAAATATACCTACTTCACTTACCTGTGATATTCTAAGCCTAATCCAATTTAAACATGTGCTTTTCCAATTTTTCCTACTCTACAGTTTCTTCTTCATGAGAACTGAGTAAAACACTCATAGTTTAATCAGGATTCAAAGGCAAGAGCTGTTCTGCTTAATGACACCCACCTTACTTAAATAATGTGTTTTAAAAGAGGGGGAGACAGGACAGGAAACATCCAGGCCAGTAGCAGAAGACATATCATACTTACCATTGATCTTTTGCATGCAAAGAATGTCACTTGCAAACTCCTACAATGTCCTTCCCGCAAGCATTGTTTAGGGCTTTTGTTTTCCTAGTAGATGAAGAAAGAAATAATTAAAAATTTGATTTCTACAGCTCGTCAAAGAGATATCAAAACACTTCACAGAATCAATCATAGAACAGAATCACCGAATATTCTGAGTTGTGAAGCACCCACAAGGATCATCCAGTCCAACTCTTAAGAGAAGGCCAAGAGAGAGACTGGACCCAAGACTGGTGTTATTAGCACCACGCTCTGGCCAACTGAGTAATTTGGGATGGAAAGGGCCTTTGAGGATCATTTACTTCCAACTTCAGAGAAGTTCACTAGGGATTTCGCTTCGGTACGGCGACCTGCGCTCTCTCTGGAGCTGTAATTCCCTAAACTGCTGCAAACAAGAGGTAAGAGGCCGTAAAATCACCTGCAGGACGCAGGGGCTCTCCAGCAGGCACTGCCGCAGGTCCTCCCTCACGCCGCTGCAGGCGCGCCCGTCCTCCTCCTTATCCTCGTAGTACTTGGGCATGGCTGCGAGCCCGGCGCTACGCCCCGCGGCCGCCGCCGACCGCCGCCGCCATGCCGGGCGCTGCGGCCGCTTCCGGCGGGGGCAGGAAGGGACGGGGCGGCTCCGCGGAGGATCCCGGGCGCCTGCGCCACGGACGGTGCCGGAAGGCTGCGGGAGGCGGCCGTGCTGGCGGTGGCGGAGCCGGGCGGGGCGGGGGTCGCGCCGCGGGCCGGGGCAGCAGGTGAGACCCTCAGCGCGGGGCGGGGCTCGGGGCTGCGGCGCTGCCCGGCCCGGCCCGGAGCTGAGCGCGGCCCCGCTGAGGGGCCTTGGGTGTTTGTCAGCAGCGGCGGCCGGGCCGCTCCTAAGTCGTGGGGTAATACGCTGTTAAGGGCTGGAAGAAACTGAAAAGATCATCTGGTTCCAACCGCCCCGCCGGGGACAGGCATACCTCCCCCTAGACCAGGCTGAGAAGCCCCATCCAACCTGGCTTGAACGCTGCCAGGGTTGGGGCGTCCACAACCTCCCTGGGTAACCTGTGCCAGTGCCTCACCCCACCCCTCCCCAGTAAAGAATTTCTTCCTTGTATCTAACCTAGACTTCTCCTTTTCAGTTTGTACCCATTACTCCTTGCCCTGTCACTGCAGTTCCTGATGAAGTGTCCCAGCTTCCCTGTTTTCCCCCTTCAGATATTAGGAGGTCTCCACACTTCAGGCTGAACTGCCCCAACCTTCTCGGCCTGTCTTCATAAGGGAGGTTCTCCAGCCCTCTTACCAACTCCATGGCCTTCTCTGGACTTGCTCCAACAAATGTCATTGTTTATGCTTGTGCTCTGTTTTTGTCACTTCAGCATTGCAGCCGTGGCCTGCATCACATTATTTCATTTGTACGCCATATTTGTGTGCAAAATCAAACGCATCTTTTGAAATCCTTTCTTTAGCAAGATGCTGCCAACCACGTTGATTAATTCTGGGAGCCAGGGCAATGGCGTGCTGAGCCCCAGAGATGCTGCGAGGCACACGGCCGGAGCAAAACGCTACAAGTACCTCCGGAGGCTCTTCCACTTCCGACAGATGGACTTCGAGTTTGCGCTTTGGCAGATGCTTTACCTGTTCACTTCACCACAGAGGGTTTACAGGAACTTTCACTACAGAAAACAGACAAAGGACCAATGGGCAAGAGATGATCCTGCTTTCCTAGTGCTGCTCAGTATTTGGCTCTGCGGTGAGTGCGGGAAAACAGACAGCATGAAGAAGAGGGAGGGAAAATTTATAGATAAACATTTATTTTCCTTTTAATAACACACACAAAAAAGGACCAATCTGTATGGATGATCTTTTAATCAAAGTAGAACAGAAGAAAAAGGCCTAACCTTTTTGAAGTTAAGGTAGAAATTGGAGTAGGCTTAAGTAGTACTCTGTAGTCTTGAATTTACCTCTCCGTTGCAACTCATTTTCTGTTGCATTTTAAACTGCATCATTCACGGTAACTTTACAGATAGTAAGAAAACCCTATGCCACATGGCACTGTTTTTGTTAAAAAATATTGAATATTTGGTTTACCTGAATATTATCGATAAAACACTGTTTTTCCTGTAAAGATCCTGGTGAGATTCTGTATATTGTAGAATTAAGCTATAAAAAAAAGTGGCTAATATAAATGACCGAACTGCAAATTCGTTATCGTGTCAGTTGCCTTGTATTAAATAGTGTATTGCTGTTCATAATAGAAAAACTCTTAACTGAAATAGAATTACACATGTGGTTTAAGTTAACAAGGAGCTTTTATAAAACAGAGAATGTTCTATTGTAGCATTGTCTGAATTTTTTCAAAAATAGTTTGAGTGGAGCATTACAATTAGACCCAAGTACAGATGAGTGTTTATATTATGAATAAATTGCATTATATCTAGTTTTTGCTGGAAAAAAAATGAGCTATTGGACTGAAAATCTCAGGGGAAAGATAAAAAGGAAAGTTGAGATTTCATAACAGGATTTGTAAAAAAAACCCCATCCGTTTAAGATCTCATGCTTTCGTTTCCACAGCTGACTTTAATGATCTTTCTTTGTTTTCAGTGTCTACTGTAGGATTTGGATTTGTGTTGGACATGGGTTTTTTTGAAACAATAAAACTGCTACTTTGGGTTGTATTCATAGACTGCGTAGGCGTTGGGCTCCTGATTGCAACTCTGATGTGGTAAGTAGTGATTTCTGAAGCTGAGTTCAGTACTGCTGTTCAGACACAGAGTCCTCTGCTGTCTCTGAGACACTTGGCTCTTTGTTTGGGGTAAATTTACACTCAAGTATTGACTATAGGTTTTATGCTGTTGTAGTAATTGTTCAAAATGATACCTTTAAAAAGAATATATTTCTTTCACATTGCATAAATCTTGTACATTTTTTCCTCTTTCCTACAAAGTTAAATGTTCAGAAGGTCTGTATTATGATGAACATTCCAGCTTTTTTGCTGGTTGATGTTCAGCTGTAATAAATGTTCAGCCAAATAAATTAAAAAAAGGTGATTAAAGAAAGAAAAAGCTGTTCTATCAAAATAATGAATGAAAAATTCAAGTAGCATAAGCCTGAGGATAATTCTGTTTAAGCAGGGCAATATACACTTGGCCTGTGCTTTTTGCTGAAGATTGTAGCTAGTGCCACTACAGCCACAATTGTTCTGTCTTGTGCTTGGCATCTTTTTTGCTTTCTTGGTAGGTGCTGCCAGTTTTATCCTCTACTGTGCAGAGACTTGCAGAAGTAGAGAGGCAGGAGCAGGTCATTTTACAATCTAGGCCTCATCAGCACCATAAATGTGTCCTATAGCAGTGAGGGAACCATGAAATGATGGGAAGCCAGTGTTTCTGTGCTGCAGCAAGGGGAGGGCACCAAAGAAAGAATTTTCATTTTACAAGGAACTTAAGAAAGCAAGGGCATTTAAGAGTTCTTAGGGATAGAGCGTCTTAGGGATGGAACTTTAGCATCTTAAAGTGATGATGATTGGCAAAGGGATAAATCCTGACAGTGGCCTCTGGAACTCCTGCTTGTAGTTGCAAAATTGAGATTGAAGTACATAAAAGAAACACAACCAATAGATGAAAGATCCACCTGACCTATGCTCCTGTCTGGCACAGCAACCCATAAATGGCTTGGGGAAGACCTTATAGTAATGCTCCCTGCCCCCATCCTCCAGCAATTTGTTGTCACAGGATGCAATCTCCTAAGCCAAGAGAACTTAAGCATCTGCTGGTTTTCCTCTTTTAGTCAGCTTCCTGCAGGCCTCAATACCAGTCACCTGGCTCCAGTTTGGTTCAAGCCCTTTCTTCTAGTGCAGGCTCAGTTTTTTTCCTAAAAGCTCCCCCCATTCCTAATGAGTCTAAACTCCTCCTTGCCTCACCTCTACTCACCTTGCACCCAGGCTCTGCCTCTTTGCAACCCCACACTTAGCACAAAGAGTAGTTCAGAGGAAGATTCCATGAATACTCTGGTCTCTTATTTCTGAGCATGTATTGACTTCTTGCTCCTCTTCTAAATGATAAATATTAAATAAATATTTTGATATCTGCAAAACTTAAGCTGAAGGAAAGAGCCTTGAGGCTCGTTCAATAGCCTGTAATACTGGACAGTGCACATTGCATTTGCACATCTTCTCAGTAATAATAGGCACATGTTATGAGCACTCTCCTGCCCTCCTCCTGTCCTGGTAGTGCATCAGTTCTGCAGAGATGAAAGAAACCATCTCTGTGTGAGATGTGCTGATCCTGTACTAGCACTTGACTGAAGTCATCTCCCTGTGTGTACAGAGAGAAGTGGCAGCTCGTGACTGCACTGATAAATTGTAGCACTGTTCTCATCTTTATAAAGAAGTTTTGTTTCTGTATTACCCACGGGGTATTTCAGCTGCCTGTAGCATGCAAGGGATGTGATGATAGTTCTAACAAAACCATTTTAACAATAGTCTGGTCTGCATGATTCTTGCATGTTTTTATTCCCAGCTAGCAGAAGCATAGTAGTGGAGAGTCGGGATCGCATATGACTTATTACATCAAACCTGTGTATTGTCAGTCAGCTTTACAGATTCGTATTAACAAGAGTCTCAAATATCTTCTGTAGGTTCATTTCAAATAAGTATTTAGTGAAGCAGCAGAACAGAGATTATGATGTGGAGTGGGGATATGCCTTTGATGTACATCTGAATGCTTTCTACCCTCTTCTAGTCATCCTGCATTTTATCCAGCTGTTCTTCATCAACTGTAAGTAGAATACTTTGAGCTCTCTGCTTCAAAATGGTGCACTATCAAAACAGCTAAGAGCAGTTATCCCTTGCAGATGTCATCATATCTGATTCTGTCATTGGGTATTTTGTTGGGAATACATTATGGCTGATTGCAATTGGCTATTACATCTATGTGACATTCCTAGGATACAGTGGTGAGTAACATCAACTTCTTTTGCATTTATTTGACTAAAGAGAAGAGTGTGTTTGCAGCCTGTTAATTTGATCTTAGCCTGTTATTTGTAAAGCAGAGGCTCAGCTGCATGTTGAAGTAATTCTTTCTTTGTGGTAAATGAAGTTTGATAGAAATGTTTTCAGCTGGGTGGACATCTTAACCAAAGAATTTATATTCTCCACCTCATCAAATTTCCTTCTTGTATTAGATCTGTAGCACCACAGCTTGGTTTTTTTGTTCCTCTGTAAATCGACGTGAAGATATTTGCATTAGATAAAAATTCTATAATGAGTTTAAGACCATAGTTTTAGGTAAAACAGTTCCCTGAGGCATTTTGAGATAGTTTTAGGGCTAGTAGGTCAGAGATGTCTGAGGAGGACAGCAGAGCAGAATTATTTTTTATTGCTACCTTGCCCCAAGGCTACTCTACATGAAGCACCTTTTTTAAAGAGCACTACTTTATACTTGCTTCAATATTGCTTCTGTTTCAGCATTGCCCTTTTTGAAGAACACAGCTATTCTTTTGTATCCATTTGCACTTCTCATCATGCTCTATTTGATCTCATTAGCATGTGGATGGAACTTCACCAAGATGCTTTGTTCCTTTTATAAATACAGAGTGAAATAAAACCAGGACTTCATGTATCTGATGATTTTGTTTCTACCGTAGCCATTTTGACAGTAAAGAAAAAATGAAGAACATTTTGTAAATGGTTGTAAATTTCTCTTTATTGTAGATAATTGTGTAAAAAAGTTTGAAGTGTCCTTTTTTATTAAAATATTTACAACAGTAAACATGTTAGCAATTTTCTTCAAATACTTTCGCAGTACATTCCTAAAAACAAGTTACTTGTACATTTCTGTAGTTTAAATTTAACTGCAACAAGTCTATGTAGCATAACTCTTACTGCAGATACTTTGAACATACTGGCATAAGCTCTACATTATGAGGGGTTTAAGTGACACCAAAAAGCAGTTTTCTTGAAGAGTAATACTGGAATACCTTGCCTTGGGACTGTGTGAAAGTACAGATCTTAATAGTGTTGCGATGGTAAAACAACAACTGTCTCTAGATACAGATCTGTCCTCTCCTTGTATGAGAGATTGTGAGAACAGATTTACTTCAGTGACTACTTCAAATATACAGGGACAGCTCTGGCACACAGAAGAAACAGTGATGAAAGGCACAATTAACATGACCCATGCCAGGTTTCCAAAGATAGCAGCAGGTTTTTAAACCCAATCTCTAGCAGTCCAGTGGGTATTACTACATCCACCATTCTGAGTGGCAGGTCAATGAATATGGAAGGAAAGTACAGGTTGGTTTGGCTACAAGGGTGGGCTCATGGCAATGCCTGCAGCTGTGAAGTCCACAAGGCAGAAGTAGAAACTGACCATCACAAACAATACTTTATGGAAAGTGAAGATGACAGCTTTCCAGTGCAATGTTCATCATGAAACATGAGCACTAGGATTCAGTTTCCAAAACAACACGAGAGTAAACTGGTTACAGTAAGACAATTGCAATACTAGAATTTGATCTCTAAGGAAAAACTAGAATTTATCTTAAAATACCAAATATGCTGGCAGTGCATCTTACAGTACTGTGTGTTTCAGCCACTGTTAAGGCTTGAAGAGATTCATGTTTTCCTCTCAGCAGCTGCTGAGCAACGTTCTCCTTTAAACAAGGAAAGCAGTGAACTGCTGATCCATGGAAGGTGAAGGATTCCAGTCAGGATCTGCTCCCTCCCTGGCTAACAGCACGAGCTCCCGTCCTGCAGGCAGCTGCAGCCTAACTGTACACCTTTTCCCTAATCCTAGCATCACTGATCATCCACTTCAGTTCAACAGTAAAAATACTTCTAATCTAGTGCCCTGTAGTGGGATACCGTTGAAGGACTCGGGGCCTGTGTACCTTCCTTTTAGAGATATCAATGTTTTTCCCCTTGAAAGAAGGCTTCATTATTATCAAAATTAAACTATTTTAACTTCCAGCAGTTCACTCTTTACAGCAGAACTTAGCAAAACCCTTTAGAGACCACTGAGATCAGAAAGGTAACACTCGAGGACTTAATGACCCGGTCTCCATGGGCTGTGTGTTTTACATCAGCAATCAATGCTAGCCTGAAAACACCAGTTGTTTAATAGCTTTTCAGCCTTATGCTGGTGATTGTAAAGATGATTTTAAAACACGAAGGCTTTCCCCCCCCACCCCCCCCTTTTCTAGCTTTTTCAGAATACATCCTTCCTAGTAAGAAGAAACGTAGAACCTTGAGTTCATGTATTTTAGGGAAGCAAGGTTTGAGAAGATTTAATTTTTATTTTCCCCCATGAGACTAAAATAATACTTTCCAAGTTGAAGATGAACGACAAGTTACTATGATACTTCATCTGGAGCAAGTACTTCAAACAAAATACAGAGATTACTGAAATTATAATATATCTGGGGGAAAAAAAAAGAAACTGGTACACAGTTTCCAAATATTTCCAAAGACTAATCATACTTCAGCTGATTCAAGGAACTGTGTTTCACACAGGCAAAATATAAATTGCTATGCTCTAAACTGACTCAAGGTATTTAAAAACTGCTTTGAAACAGCTAGACAAGCAGTGATACAACAGAAGACTCCAGTCTTTTCTTGGTCCATGAATCACATCTATCTGAATTTTTCTAAGCCATCTTTAAGTACAGAAAAAAGGAATATATCCATAGGAATTTTTTTCCATCAATGAAAACACACGATTGAGATGCCTGCAAAAGCTCAAAGCCTTATACAGTGCTTTAGAAACACTCTAATTATCACATCCTGTTCACATTATTTACAAGTTTTCAGTAGGATGACCCACTGAATGAGCAAAGGAAGATTATACTGACAGTCTTGTGTTTCCTTGGTCCCAAGCAATCCTGACCAGCTCAGAAAAGCAAATGTTCACATCAGCCAGTCTGTTTGGCATCCAGTATAAGATAATTTGTCCAGATAATGAAGGTTTCTGGCTATGCCTTTGGTTTCACAAAAATTTGCTTTTCTGAAGCTTTAACACCATCAGAAGGAGCTAACAGGAGCATAGGATAGTGCAGGCTTTTTTTAAGCACTTTCCATTATTGGATAACTCTTAAGATTCAGCAGCCTCAAAGGGATTTTTAAGATCACAACAAAAATTACTTGAAATTGAATACATGTAGGGAAAAATTCACTCAAAACAGATAATAGGTTTAAGATGCTGTTTAAGATCTCTTATGGCAACACTGTCCCTTACGATGGAGACATGCAGGAGACGCTGGCCCACTGGTGCACCACTTTAGCCTGACTTGGGGATTGGAATTTAAAGATCCAAAGCCCAAAATAGCTGTCTGCAGAAATCCTGATTACACCAGCTCTGAATTTACCTGGATGTATGAACTATAATTTGTATTAATGTGGCACATTTTATCTAGAGAGCCTGTAAGCTCAGGAACATTGAAAGTACTGAAGCAGCCCAGAGTATTTTCAACTCTTGCTACTACAATGTAATAAAAATGCATCAATCTTTAGAAAACAACCCACATTTTACCACGCACTAGTTTAAATTGTTGCCTTGCATAAATTTCTTCTCAACATTTTTGAAAACTAAATATACTACTAACCAGTCTTGCAATCAATGTGGTATGGGTTCTATGTATTTAAATATATTAGCAGTAGTTCATCTTAACTAATGTGAAACATCGGGAACAGCAATGGCTTGAGAATAAGAACACAGCTTTCTTACTTAAATGGTACCAGTACATTTCGGAACTCGTGGAAAAATGGAAAAGGTCACTGTCATCAAAACTAGTTCTAGTAAGAAACTTCAGTATCTAGTGTATTTCTGCAGTCTAGTTTAAATCACTTGTATCATTCATTCACAGACACAGCTTAGAAGAAAACCTAAATACTTTCTGAGACCTTTGCCAGCTGATGTGTGATAAAAAACCATTGCATGTCTCAGTAATTTGACGGCAGGGCATTATACAGGAAACAAACAGGGCTGTAGCACCACAATAAGCCAGAGTCACACAGGATTCAGAGCCTAGTCACCCACATTCCTAAATGCAAGAATAATCTTCATTTATGTGACAGTGATAGCTTATGCCCTCAATGTCTATGGGCAACACAAACTTTCCAAGTAACATTTTATTTACAGCATCTGATGCAGTCAGAAAAAGTAAACAAGGTCCTCTTGTTATCTAATTTTTCTTGAACTTACACCAGTAAGTCTAGACAGGTCTTAACCTCTGTGTACAAATCTTGTCTTCCCTGTGTTCCCAGACAACATAGCTAAAGCAAAATGACAACAGTCTGTAGAAGTAGTTAAGTCCTTCAACTCGAATATTGCTCAATTGTCAAAGCTATGGCACAATTCTCCAACAAGGCAGAAGAGAAGACAGGTTGACACTATAACCCAGCATTGAGGGTGGTGATGGAGAGGCAGGCTTAGGCTCCTGCTCCTTATATCATGAAAGAGAGGCCAAATCTATCAGCCAAAGTTTAATGGTGAAATACAAGTTCAAGACCCCTGCTCTAGATCAAGGAACCTGCAACAGGTTTTGTGCATTTGTCCATGATCACAAAGACAATAAAGGTAATTTCCAACTTAAGTGATTCTATGATTCTGTGTTGGCGGTAGCAGAGTGTGGTTTTTCCACAGGGAAAGCTGGCTAGCTTTTGAGATGTCAGTTCCAGGAGGCTGGTTCACAGCACAACTGACAATACCCAAGCCAGCATGGATGCCTCCCTCCAATGACAATCAGGCACTTCATTCCTATTAAAGGGAGGAATTCCTGCCTCTCTCCTGGCCATTTCTGACTAACTGGATTTTTCCATGCCTGAGTCCTTACACATAAGCACCTAAGCAGCAGGACTCTTAAGAAAAGCAGCAGCATTAGTACTGCAACAGTTCCACTCCGATTGTAATCCAGACCACGTTCTGTTCCTGACCGAATTTCTGATTCATTTAAGATCACTGTTATTTCCCTTGAAATGAAAAGGCATGGTACTACCTTGAGGCCAAATTCAGTTCCTACTATAAAGTTAGCGTGAGTTACCATACTGATCCATAAAGGAGTCAAACTAAGACCTTGTTCTTAAACAAAGGAAAAAAATAAACTGTAACTACTCACTAATGTATCCAAAGTAAACACTGCAATAACAGAACTTTTTAAAAGGAGACCTCTGTAAATCAAATGTATCTACTGTTCATTCTTTTGATAAAAGGTAACCTCTTGTCACTCCAAAGCAAAGCTGGAGAATGATTTTCTTCAGTACAGAAAATGAATTTGTTCAGCCTAGGAAATGTTTACAAATATTTTTAGAAAGAACTGGTTTGGAGTAAAAAAAATCTTCTAAAATGCAATGGATTCAATCTCAAATCACTGCAGATTTAGTACATAATATGAAACAAGACATTTCAACATGCTTTTTATGTTTGTAGCTACAAACTGTACATAGTGGAATTTTATAGCCCCAAAGAATAATGCTCTTCAGAACTCTGTTTATGCCTCTGAACATCATTCAGATTCTGTGTATAAAACTACATAATTTAGAAACTTAATCTTGTTTTTTTTAAACATGGCAGTATATTTGAAATATGGTATTAATTTATGTTTGCATCTCCAAAGAAAAATGTAGAAAGGTAACTTAAACTAGAGAATTCATAAAAAAACTATATCAATTTAAAATTTACTGCATAAAAATATGTACTTTTCAAATTATTTTAATAAATTAAATATCCCTAGCATTTTTAATATATATCCCTGACAGTCTATAAAAGAGGGTTCTTGTTATAGAAAATAAATGGAACTCCGAAAGTACCCCCTTCATAAAACTTATTTAACAATAATTATATTTTCTTTTCTTCAAGGAATGTAACAATATGTACAACTCTATATTACTATACTATCAAAATAGTACAGGTTAGGCGTAGCAGGGTTCTGCAACCATAAGATGGTAAAGTCACATTACAGTGGAGGACAACTTGGGCCTCAGATGAACGTTATCAGTGAGGAGCATCAGTTTCTGGATGGATCAGATAAGAAGGGGTAAATACAATCTTCTCATCTACAGTAGATTTCACAAGAGGTAGAGTTCAAGTGAAAAAGAATGACATTTGGAATAAGGTGCATGCTCAGTATTTTCAATTTGTGACTTGCTAAGGATGTCAGATTTTATAGGAAGAATTTTCAAGAATTCTTTCTTTTCCCTCTAAAGCAGATTTCCACGATCAGTTTGTAATCTTTTTAATATGAATCTGAAATAGAGAATCAGAAAAAAACAAGTCATGGTTTAGTGTATTACATTTCTCAGTTATAAGAGGTAACTATTTTTACTGTTAGCCAAAAGTCTGAGCTTCAAAACAGAATGAAGGCATCTCCCATTCACTGGTTATGTTTATCAATGTTCTGCCACCTCTTACCTCGTTCAGAATTGCCCAAACAGCCGAATTTTGTATCACTGAAAGCCGGAATGATGAAATAGGATTTAAGCTGGGGTCAACTGTTCCTTCAGCTATACCGTTTTCAAACTTCCCTGCAAAAGCACATACTCGATTAAGTCCTGTTCAACAAACTGAAGTACAAAAACCAGAGAATGTTTCTGCAGTGTCACAATTCACAGTATCATTGTGACAGAATCACAGTGAAACCAGTATCAGTCCCGAAATAAAAGGTAGTGAGTGATTCTGACATCAGATCCAGTTTTGCAGCAGCAAACAATATGGGGCACATCATCAGTGCACACCAATGTGAACAGGATTACACACAAGAAAAAAAGCTTTGAAGCTGTCTAAAGGCATTAACACCTCTAACTCTGTGAAGATTTTGGCACAGGTACTCATTTAATATCACAGAACTAATATGATGCCTTTGGCTTATGTGTTTTCAAATAGGATTAAGGACAAGGGATATCATTGATGCATAACATATTCCTATTTAAAGCATCTTCAATTATATTAGGATGAGTAAGAATTCAATTTAAAACCAGTTAGACTTTACAGTTAAACCATATAGACAACTGTAATTTATTATGGCAAAAAAATGTGCTTCCATTATAATAGGATTGCCCAAACTATGTCCAGCAACTAATTAAAATTCATGTATAAAATTTCTCTTTCTTGACATGTATCCAGGCACCTTCCCTAACAGCCACTCGGCTGTTGAAATGCCAGTCTTATCCTGTGACGAGACAGCTGATTGTCTGTAGGGTGGGTTCAAATCCAGGTCAAGCACACAACTCACACAAAGGCACTTGTGCAGTCACAGGACAGAGAAGGTGATCTTACAAAACCTGGAAATGCCTCTGTTATAATCTAGGTGATCAATCCTGGCAGAAAGGTTGGATGTAGCTGCACTACAACTAAGTCACAAGAGTCTCTGTTTAGTCCATCAGTCTCTGAAAAGAATTAGTGGATACAATATTAAGTAAAGCCTACGGGGTCATGTACCCAAAAATGAATGATAAAAACTCAAGTTTAGGTTTATTTTGGTTTTAATAAAGATGCCTTTAAGAGTTGCAATAGTAAGAATACACGTTTTTTTCTAGTGTTACATACCTATCCTGAAGTAACCATCCTCTAAGCGTTTGTCTTTGGTTTCTTTGCTTAATACCAGTTCTTCACTCTAGAACAACAAAGCATAAATGAGATAATTTATTTTGACATATGACTTTGCTGGAGAAAGACAAACATATATGCACTCTTCTTATATATTCAGCATCCATTTTTTCCAAATAATTAAGAACAAGCCTGGAATATAATTATTTATAGCCTTAGACAAGCCAACACAAAATAAATTAAAATAAAATAAAGAACAGCAGTGTTCCAGAACTGAACAATACCTGTCTTCATAGGAGAAAAATCAAGTTCTCTAAGTGCCCCATGAAACTTGCGTGGTAATTGCCACATGAACAGAATACTTAGCACATACTGGCATACACAGTGGGAGACAAGCAAAGGCAGGACCTGGCTTCTTTTTCTATGGCTTAACAAAAGTTTTATCTCTTAGACAAATGAAAATTTACAGCTTACTTTTTGATCTAAGATTTTGGGTGAGATGGAAAGCCATCAGAGCAGCAAGAGAAGCGCTGCAATTATCACTGCCTCACTATATGGATGAGAATCAATAAGTTTTTTTTAATAAGCACAAAAAAAAATTGTAGAGCAGAGCTTGAGAAACAGCTTGAAAATTACAACCATGATTCAATACTGAAAGACCCATTCTACGAATTTCCCAGGAATTAATTTAAAATGTTTGACAAAATGGAAATTAAATTGATCAGCTTTTTTTTTTTTTAATTCCAATTTTGAACTAAGGCTGAAAAAGTGGTGGGAATGTTTTTGGTTATTTATTTGGGTGGCAAATGTTTTGGTTTTCTTTGTTGTTGTTGTTTGGGTGTTTGGGGCAGGGTTTTGTTATAAGTTGTCTTGAGGTTTTTTAGTATGCTGCTTGAATCCCAGGCAAATCCAGTCTGGGGGTACTCTAGTTTTTAAGGGTTGTTTTCTGTTTCTCTGAATTCTACTTAAGGAAGAACAGGGTCAAAATACTAAAATTAGTTTCTAGCTCTACTGAAGTCCAAGATGGAGAAATAAGGCCCTCAGGAGCTGCTGTCCTCAGATGACAATATTTTACCAAAAATCTTTTCTACGGACACCAGTGGCTTAGAAACAGGCCAGATGAAGAATTTCCTGTTTACTTTTTCCACAAATTGCATCAATAGCAATAGAACCTCTGTAGCACTAATTCCTTAAGGGATGCTGCAGTGAGAGACATTCCACAGCCAAGTAAAGCTAGAAAAGAGTGGCCCAATGCACATTTTTTCTCATTATATTGTCCATTCTTGCATCTTGGGCTTAGATGAAGTGAGGGCTGCTGCTGTTTTTGTGGTTGAATATATCTCCAAACAAACCCCTCACATCTTATGATATAATATCCCACGTTATGTTGTATCATTAGAATCAAACAAACAGTTTTCTTTTTAAGGATGTGAATAGTAAGAATTTCCTGTTTTTGCCTGCTCCGAGGAAGGCAGACTGGGAAAATGGGAGACGTGAACTCCTCCATGATTACTTACTTAAAAAAAATAGATAAAAAGAAAGTTTAAAAAAAAAAGATTCAATATATGGCAATTTCAGCATAGGTTTCAAGATTCCTACACAAGGTATATGGGGGACGATAGAGATACTTTGCCATTTTAATACTAAATAAAATATACTTGTCTGAAGTAATATCTTAATCCTCTCAGTCTTTTGTGATATAAATACTTAGCTGTAATACCTAGTTGAAGAAAAAGAAGCCATACCATCTGACTTCAAATAAGAATATACTTTAGATAGTGTAGTACTCTCCTGTGGTAAAACTGGCTGATTTATGGGGGGAAAAAATGAGAAACTGGGAGAAAGGTACACATTCTGTTTAAAGAATCTATATATTTTGGTATCTAGTGGGTTTGGATGAGTATCAATCCCTGAACTAAGACTTATTAAAGAAGTCAAATAGCAGATTGACAGGTTTCCCATTCCCCAAAATACATAGGAGAGGGAAAACTGTTTATTCTTTTGTTTTAGATAGTAACAATGAACTGGAAGAAAATTACCTTAACATCAAAATTACCAACAGCACTGGTAGCAGATTGCACCCTGAATGAACATCTGAATAGTTACAATAGTCTTCTGTGAACATATCCAATTAAAAGAAGGAAAAGTATGACAATATCAGAACATCAAATTCATACCGTTTAAAGAAGCATTTATGTCTCCTCACCCTGTTAAAAATGTCAATAAAAAGACTTTGCTTTTATCCTATAATGGAGAAGACACAAATCAAAAAAATTCATACCTGAAAAGGCAAAACTTCTACAGTCGTGTTTAGAAGTATGTCTCCTGGATGCTCTGGATTGCCACTGTGAAACAAGTACCTGTCAATGAAAAGGGAAGAAAAAAAGTCTGTGTACATCAGTCAGAATCAGCTGTGTTACTGTCTTACATTTTAATTGTCACATACAGATGTTACAAGGATAAACACCATTTCATATAGAGCCTACATCAGCTGGGGATAAAATGGTTTCATATAATTGGAAGGGGTCAAGTTTTTCAGTTGCTAAAGAGAAGTTGGGCAATATTTTACAGAGGAAGGGAATTTGCATCATCTGCTCTTGCCAGATTGCATTACACAGAACTGTAGTCACTACTGCCTGGCACACACTGGTATCACCTCCAGAAGCAGGAGCCCTGCCCTCCTTCAGCCCCTCCCCAGCACACACCACCTTCTCCCTGTGCCCACAGGGTGAACTCTGCAGATCCTTTCTGAAACAGTTCTGGAAACTTAGCCAAGTCAATATTTTGCCAGGTGAGTGTTCCCCAAGTCTCTCTCTCCACCATGGCTCATTGCAAAATCTCATTGATGATTGTGCCAGGAATTCCCAACCCATATCCACACCCTTCCTGTTACCTGAATTCAAACTTCTATTCCAAGGACAGATGTATTTAAGAAAAAAAAAAATCCCTAAAAAACCCCCAAACCATTAAAGCCTGTTTCTGACATGTATACACACGTAAAGAGGAGTTTTAAAAACCTGTACAAAGTCCCCATTACTCTCACTCAGTTGTGCATTTTTTTTTAAATTTGATAGAGTAAATATGTTTGAAACATTATCTAAACCATCCCTATCAGTATCAATCACTGAAGTGTTCAAATGAGCAGCTTTTGTAGTACTGCACATGTGTAGATTATGATACAAAAAGGACAGTTTAATTCCTCTTTCTTTATATATAACAGGAACTTCATGTTATTCTGAATATGTATTATGTAAACCAGTAATAATATTTTTTTACCACTAGGTGGAATCAACGCTTGAAAATTGTTCATTACTTGCCATTTTTTTCTAGCGGACTAGAGTTAATTCAGATTACTGTCATAAACTAATTAGATGCTACACCAACTCAGATGCCACATTTAGGAAGACTATTTTACTTTTGTTATGTTTAAATGAATATGTAAAAATCTATCAACACATTTCAAACCTTTCTTCAATTGGAACTTGGATGGTACGTATTGTTAATTTCTCTTCGACATTAAATATGTCACCAGCCAGAGACAAAATTAGTTCAGAAGTTATTACTTGATTAAAATTAAAAACATTAGCTTAATTTGCAATTTATTAAAAGGCAGTTAGAAGTGTAAATTCCAGTTTGTCTTTACCCAATATATCTGAACCTAGGTTCAACACCTGGCATTAATCCATACTCCATAGCTAAAAGACAAGTAGAAGAAAACAGAGCTCTGACCCTGACTCAGAAATGTCTGTGACCCCAAAATGATAGAAGCATTTTAAGAAAACGCACACACATGTAAAACATTTCTTTTATCAAGGCTCAGAAAAGGAGCAACACCTCACACTGTGATACAAGAAAGCCACACTGATTTTTATTGCACTGGTTTCAGCAGAACTGCACAATTGTACTGGAAAACAGAACTGGACTAAATAAGCTTCACTACTGTGTTTCAAGAAAAATAATTTCCATACTGTACTTTAATGTAAAGGTTAGTCAATTCCAAGTGTACAAGCTACCTAAAACATCCACAGTTCTTCCAAAATGCATCTTGTGACTTTTTCTAGACATTAATGACATCCAAAAAACCCCAATGAAATATTTTTTCTAGGAAGATGCCTTCATTGTTCATCTCAATAGTAAGCAAAACAAAGCTCTCAGGAAAACTGACTGCAAAACTGAAAGTACATTCTGCTGTCTTTTGAGCTAATAGATCTAACTAGCCATTCCTTAGTCTATCAGATATCCTAAATGTTACTGGGCATTTTTTTCACTGAAAATTCTAAGGAGACTTAATTTAAAATGAAAGTAACCAAACACTTGTCTAAGGTATTCCCATCAAATGCTCCACCCAAACCACAGACATGCTGCTTTTCCTTAGTACTTAGTTCTGAGAAGACACACCTAAAAGTCCACAAAGAAACTCCCTCTGATGTGGGATCAGTGTGCTCTCAATGAACAGTAATTGGCTTCAGCGGTTTGATGGGGTTTTTAGGGGAAGCAGTAGCAGTGAGGGCTTAGTTTGTTCATGTGGAGTTGTCATTTATTTATTTGGGTTTGTTTGCTTGTTTTTAAAAACAGCCCTGCAAGCACACAACCACAGCCAAGCGTTTCTCCTACTGTGCCATCAGCTTTGAGACTGAGATGCAGCTTCCTCTCCTCAGCAGTTGTCACTCCATCAGAGCAATGCACTCCCGAGTTGGCACAGTGCCATAACAATTTACAGCAGTAATTAATCAAACCCATTTCCATGTAATCAAACCTATGCTATTTTAGTATATTTTCTATAACTATCTGTTAATCCATATGCACACACAAATGTAACACATGCACATGTCACATTTTAAATTATGTTTAGAAAGAAGGGATATTTTTATATCTGAGCCTTGCTTCAACACTTGACAGATAACACCTACTTAGACATTAAAAGTTACACAGATTGAAAACAGAAGCCTAAATACACATACACAGCCAATCCATATCTGTGATAAATATTTCGTTGAGAACTAAAATTTACCAATTAGAAAATTTTATTTGAAATAAAATTTAATTTACAAACAAATATATATTCTACAGCTCCTAAAATAAGTGTCATTAGCTATTCTTTTGTAAAACTTGCTTTTCTGACAGGGCAAATTTTCCAATGGAGATTCTTTGGAAATGGGTTGAGAGAGTAAAACTCATTTCAAAACAAAGGTCGGTTAAACCTCCCATTCAAAAATCCTTGAAATGGCTTTTAAGGAACTTGTCTTTACCTCCCCAAACCTTTTGGGTTTGGTTATAGCTACTTGCTATATGCCAAGACATTTCTTCCAAACTTGCTGTTATGCTAGATATTTAACTGGATGAGAGAGTATTATGGGTTTCTCCCTCCCAGGTAGAGAGAAAACTCTTATGTCCCCTCACTAATGAACTGATTTTTCATGTAATATTTCTTAAGTAAATCAGACATTTCTAAAAACCACAGAGACTTTTGCAGGACATTTAGGGTCCTCATTAAATCACTAATGTAGAGTAATCCAGCTGATAGACATAGGATTATGAGATTGTTTCCTTTTATTTATTTTCTGCACCAGTAGGAAGATGTCTGGCCCAGTCCTTTTTTCTTTCAAGAGAAACACTGGTTTATAACTGGACTGAATGACCTTAAATGTCTTTTCCAACCTAAATGATTCTATAATAGGTATTTCCCAATACAGATACTGAAGGGCCTGGGAATAGCTTTGTTTTCAATTGCTAAATTATTTTGACACCTGTTCTGGGATTTACACGTGACAGTCCATGTAAACAGTAAAAACATGCACCTTTTCCCCTAATTACTTAGCATTTTTCTTAGGGTAGAATCACTAAGATTTCCTAAGTCTACCTGCTGCTTAAACCTAATACTACCTGAACCATTCCTTCAAAAAAGAATTCTGAAAGCAATGGATCTCTAAGTATAGTAATCTCAACCAAATTCACCTAAAGTTAAAGAAAACATACCCTACTTTTGCCTTATGGAATATTACTTCACTACTTTCTTAATTACAAAACACAAACATGAACACAATTGAACATTTTTGATCAAAATAATCAGAGAAAAGTAACTCTAATTTACAATTGCTAATTATTATACTAATGTATCTGAATCTGAGAGAACCTTTTCTGCTGGCAGTGTCTTTTTAGAGTCACAGGTCAAAGATAATAACCAGCTACTCTAGATATTCAAACACAGAGACAAACCTCCTATCTACCAGAAATAATTAAATGTATGAACTCACATACATTCTGCTCATGACCTCAATGTGGTATGAGAGCAAGAGGTTAAGTGTTCATCTTTCATGTAGCATTAAAAAATACACAAAATTTCAAGAGCACTGAAGGTTTAAAAACAAACAAAAACCACACAAACAGAAAAAAACAACACCAATCACCAAGCTAAATGGAGCAAGGTCAAAGCTGCAAAGAAAACTTCCATTTTTATACTCAGTGACTTCAGTATTTATCCAGGTTGAGGGGTTGAGTTGTTGCCATGGAGCTAGATACACACATAAAATCAAGACAAATAGAGGGGGAAACACCCCCCAGCCAATAAGCTGAAATAAATATCCATACATATCATAACACACAAAGGGAGAGGAAGGCAGAAGTATGATTATCATTTGTACACTGACAAAAGATATCATTATTTGCCAATGCAGTTAACTATTAGGGTACTCTAAAAGCTCACATTCGGGTTCAGAACCCCTCCAATAGTGAGCACCCAGGAGGATTCTCAGCTTTTGTAATATCCCCCAGAAGATGGATAAGTCAATATTACTAATCTGAACTGCTGACTTTAATATGCTTTTAGTAGCTAAATTTTTTCAACACTTATGCTTTCAAAAACAAACAAAACCAATCATGCGCGCCTCTACCTGCCCCCTATCTTCCTTATAAAGGGATGTATCCCTCTCTAAATATTCAAGCATATTTAGGCCCAAAACACTATTATTCTCTCTATTATCCAATTTGATTTTTTTTAGGTGTTAAAAAATCTTTTATATTTTATCTAAATAAAATCCCAATTATTTTTTCATCTATAGAAAGTGTTCTAATTATATGTTCTAATTAAAATAGAACTGAATACACAACAATTTTATTAGTAAATTATGGCAGTTTTATAAAAGGAAATAGTACACAAAATACTTTAAACAGCACAATTCACATCCACTGTCAATATATCTGGGTTTTGTTTTGAAGGAAATAAGTTATCTCACCTGATACTAAACCTGATTCTAAGAATATAAGAATGCAGGCCTTTGTGCTCTGTAAACATCAGGAATCAAATCATTTCCTTCACATATCCCCCTTATGCCCCTTTTTAGAAATCTGATGTATTTTAGTA